ACACATTTCGGTGTCGATAGTAGTAAAAGCGTTGCTCACACACTTCATGGACCACCACGGTCTCTCTATCAACTCACCGTGAAATATCTGTGTATTACGTCCATGTCTGGTGCTACGCCGTTACACCAGTCTTCCTGTACGAGCAGTTGTGAGGGCAGCTTTGAAAGGTCAAGAAGGTCGTTGTGCGCGTGTATAAATCACGTGACAGTGTGCCGCGCGCATGCGCTAAAACCTTACAGTTTAGAGGGTGTGGCACGCTAGCTGGTGAACTAAAGCTACTTTTTCCGGGATTCCCTTAAATAAAGGCGTCAAAGAAGGGAAGAGATGAGCTCTACCGAAGACAAGCTCTACAGTCGACTCAACACTCGCGGTCGAAAGAGCTTCAGACCCACAGAGCGCGCCCAGCTCGCCGAGAAGTTTCCCGAGTTCGCTACGGTCGGGTTACCGGCGCACAAGGCGGCACTGGACGGAAATGTGGAGGCGCTGAGGGAGATCTACGCAGCCTTTACCGAGGATGGCGTCCCGTCACGAGACGTCAACGGAGCGACCCCGCTTCACCTCGCCGTGCGCGGAAACCGCATGGAGGCGGTCAAGTAAGAAAATGTCTGGCGCTATTCTTTCAGTATGTGTCTACGAAAAGTGTGTCATTAGATGGTTGAGTGGGGAAAACTGCATTGGTGGAGAGAATTTTGCTGTTTATGTAGTGTTCGTGTGTGTAGCTAGCTAGCTGGGCTGTATCAGCCCCACCCCCTTTTTGAATGCAAGGACGTTCGCCGTCGTCGTCCCTCTCAGGTGGTTGCTGAGGTTCACGGATCTCTCTCCCACCATAAGCGCCAAACACGGGGAAAGTCCGTGCCACGTGGCTGCCGCCCTGGGAAACACAGAGTGTCTCAAGGTATACTTGAAATAAACCAATTTTTATTATGCCTAAACCAAGGTGATAGCGCTGTTTTATTGCTCGTCTTTATACAGGCTATGCTGGCAACTGATGCAAAGGAAGATATATGTGTGGCCAGTGATAATTCAGGTATGTAGCTAATGCTAAAAGTTTCAAATACTGAGGTAAATTGATGGGTGTGGCACTAACGGACTGTTTATGAAAACTGTGTGAATTCTGTGAGATGAGTATATACTACTATGAATATTTCATGTATACCAATCATTTATATACCATAATATGAATATAGCTAGGGGGAAAAACTAGACCTCCAATTGCACTCCATTGCATTCGCACTAAAGCAAAACGTGTATTCCATTACAGAAAGAGGAACCTCTACATAATCTCTGGAGAACACTATTTTTATGCCCCCATTCCACATTCCACCTCTGAATAAAGTTTTTGTCTCTCTAAGATGTCCTTTATTTATAGGTTCCACTGTTCCTTTTTACAATACGATTTATTTACCATTATTGTCTGCCACGATTCCCTCAACATTCCTGTTGTGGTGCTGAATTATGCAGGGTTTACCACTCTCCACCTTGCTATTGTAAAGTCTCGAAACGAGGTCGCCAAACTGCTAATATCTGAACTGGGGGCCAAGGGAATGGGTGCGGTCTCTGAAACTGGCATTACTGCTGCACACGTTGCAGCATCCTCAGGTAAACATGTACTATAGCTACCATCGTGTTGGTCATAATGATCCATTTCTCTGAACAGGCAATGTTGAAGTGTTGAAAATGATTGCCAGCAAGAACAAGAAGTTTCTTACCCAAGAAACAGCAGATGGTAGGTATATTAGCTAACGCAGTACTGCACATTATTTTTACTTGACATGATGCATACACATCTGATTTGGTTAATTCTAATTTATCGTGTATCATATCATGTTTATATAGCACAGGCAACTTTTTTCTGGAAGTTTATTGTAATGAAGTTTTGTTAGAAGTTTTGCCTCCCTCTCTGTTGCAGGCACAACTCCGCTGTACTTTGCGGCTCAAGAGGGTCGACTGGCAACCCTCAAGTACCTCCACGAGAAGACAAAGTGTGATCTTTCATCTCGTAGCAACGACGGCCGAAAGCCTATCCACGCAGCCTGTCAGTGTGGACACACCCATATCGTGAAGGTATTCACACTCGAGTGCAAGTATATTCATTCTGTTACCAAATAGGAGGCGGGTGCAGGTTTGGGTGTGGGTGGAGTCAGGGTCAGCGGGAAGGGATGTGGCTTGCTAAGGATTTAAAACTGTGACACTTACAGACTAATACAGTAATGATTTACTTGGATTTTACATTTTAATTGTGATTGCATATGCTGTTTTTTATTGGCGAAGTACCTACAAGCATACAATATTCTTTTTACAGGGGTGAAGTGAGACCACAAATTGTCTTAGTTGAATTATTGCGCAGCGAAATTTTATCGTAGAGCCAAATCGATAGACGTTCCATCATAGGAATGGCAAAGGGTTCATCAAATATCAGCTGATAGATTAAACTCCAAACTCAAAACTCTCGAGCATGAGAGAATAGTATCTTGCTATATGGACCCATACTGTTGCTATAGACACTAATCTAGCACAAAAAGCTCGATCACAGGCCTCAACATGAGAACACATGGGATGAGAGATTAGGCTCTTTCAGTCAAAGACGTTTTACGGTAATGTTGCATCTAATACATTAAATTCAATTGATATATGCTGTTTATCATGAACACTACACTGTCTCATCTGGATAAAAACCCGGCTTTTATCACTCTTTACCTGTGGCAAACTGCATGTGAAATGCCATGCGGATTTTTCAAGATAGCTAAAATCGTTCTCAAAGTATTCGACAAAAATGTTATGGTCAGAAGTGATTGGTATTTTGTTTCGCCTAAACGCGTTGATGCACCACATGAGAATGTAACCGTGAAAGTGCGCTATTTCATTTGTGCCACAGGTCAACCTACAACTTTTGCATGAATCTGTTCTGGCTAGGTTATTGTGTGCTTATCGAGGCATCAATTTTGTCAAGCTGCACTTTTCCTTTCCTCCCATAGTTCAGTATACTTATCACATATTGTATAGGTGTCCAGCTAATGCAACCATGTCGGATGCATATATTGATCCACCGTCCGTCTAGAGACTGCTGTAGACTGCTCCGGACACACGTATGTGCCGGCTGATCAAGTGCTTCCGCGAGTCTTCGATTGTGATTCTGCGCACAACCCCCGTAACACAGAACGATTGAAAGAAAATAATGATTACCTAAGGATGTTTATACCGAGGAGTATGAGCTTTCATCCGTCCTCATACTAAATATATCCATTTTACTAGCGCCCTATAATTCTTTCTGAATAAAAGTTTCTACGCTATCACGTCTTTCGTGAGCTCTTAGCCCTAGCCAGCTCCCTTCACCATGTTCAGTTCCTTCTGTCCTCGGTTCTCTCACTCACTTGCCGTCGCTTCTTCAGCTCCGAGTATAGATTTCCTTTCTGCCAACCACCTCTGTTTACTCTGTCTCATACAACCGCGCCCTCTGAGAGCAGTCAAGATGAAAGACGTGTTTTGTGCTACAAAGCTTTGTTGTATGCGGTCTCGTAGTCAGCTAAGGTGTGTACGATCACGAGGAGCAGTGTGATGAGTGACAGCGAGGATGCGCAATCGGTCTGTTCCTCGCGACGATTTACAACTACCTTGTCGAACATTCGGGCGTCTGAATTGATTTCGCCCCCAGCCGAGCAACCCGTGCGATCGAGAGAGTCGTGAGCTCTTCTCCAACTTTCCAGGTTCGCACGATTCCGCCATGCCTTGGTGTGCTTTCTTCGTTCAGTTAGTTGCGCTTATGGCGAGGCAGTGCTACACCCACAAATACGTTGGAGCAGCGGGTCAGAAATGCACATCTTCCTCATCTCGGATATCTCATCGAGTATCAGAACGCAATGTACAGATCACTCTCAATGCGATCAGTATCGGGCCATTCGACGTCATGTGGGCATTGCGCTCATGATTCGTTCCATGTCCCTCCCGAGGCGATGTCGCCCATGTCGTGGAATCGTTTCGGTCTGGAGCTCTAGTCGACTTGTATGTATTCTCACTTCTACGTTCTCAGCGTCTAGTTGTCGATTTGGGCGAAATAGAGACCAACAGAAAGCTTACGCCTCTCACTCACAGCGGCATACGATGTATTGCTACACTTGTAACATAGATACAATTGCAAACTTAGGCAAGCAAAGCGGATGCCTCAGTATCTTTGTTCGCTCTGAGAAACGTATTAAGACGAATATAATTTACGGTGAGACGGAGAATTTATAAGGCATCAGATTAATCTTTGGTCTTGAGATTATATGAAAATGCCCTACCTTTTCAACGATTACATTGCCGTCTGCACGTATGAGCCAATACAGGGAGTTATTAGATGTATATTCGTGTTCTGTACGGGAATGTAAAACAAGCACAAAATCGCGAAATTTCGCTACTGACAGTCTGTCGCCTCCGAGTGAGATAATATTCCGACCTTTTGCACAGCTCAGTTGCAAAACCGTACGGACTTGGTTACTAGCTGAAGCTGTCTTTGTAGATTAGTAGTGAACATCCCAGTCCAGTGTCGGACGGGTGAGCGTTCCTGCTTGTCATACACATTCCCATTGTAGAAAACTATAGTCCGTCAAAATATCAGTCATCAGCAAGTGCTGGTTCAGCGCGAGCTAGAAAAAGGAGTCGACAAATCCCATCATCCACTGCAGTGAGAAACGTCATAATGAACACGACGGACTCCCCTTCAGGCTGAGAACTACAGGTTGGGAATGTGGATGTGGAGAATGTTGGGTTCTTCTCAAAGCTGCCTCTTGCTCATCAAGGCGTTGCAACTTTGGATTTACAGGGCTATGTTACTCCTCTGAAACCTCCCGATTGGAACGCGCAATGTTGCCGTCCACTCCAGGCGTGTCTTGC